CATAAGCAATAAGTTTTAGGTTGTTGTTGAGGAACAGAGATATGTTGTTCCATATCCTTCCATATGATATCTCATGTCAATGATAATAAAACAGATCTATGCTCTTTGGACATACGTCCATGTTAACCTTTATTATTATCACTAACAACGTAACAGTTTGTATTCTTTGACACGAGATATCATATGGAAGGTTTCTAGGAGCAAGTAAGTCACTTATTGGAGAGGGGAAGATGAAAACATCTATACATAAATAATATTTGTATGACCATTTTTTATTATGTTTAGTGGACTGACATCTAATCGGCGGAACATGGTACACCATCAGCTATTGAAGTTCAGAGTGATTTCAACCTTTGTTATGTCACTCAATACTGCAACATGTTAGTAACTATACGAAGAGATGCTAGTAACATGTTGCAGTATTGGATGCTTAGTCTACAAAAGAATGTCAGTTTTTGTAACTCGAGCCCCCAATTTCAGGAAACCTTTAAACGAATAATGAAGGAAGAAATTGGCGTACAACAAAAGCAACTGCAATTGTTGCCAGAGGTAAAAAGAGCACAGCACTAAACATTAACAGAAGTACCAATTTAGAAAAGGGCATTCCAGCATGAAAATAAAGCATGTGCTTAGTATCTTTGATGCCATTAGTTATACACATGGGAGTGTTTTTTGAGTATAAGAAGAATTGCTGTCTACAACAAACTTCAGTATGCTCAAGTCCAACAACATCATAGGCATCTGCAATAAAACAAGCGGGCAGAGACTATTGCTTATTGGATAGCATCCTATCTGTTGGACTCTGATTCCATTCTTATGATAAAAGATCATGCCTATTGTGCATGAACAGAGAGAGCAACATATCAAGCCAACAAGTGAACCATTACAGTAAACAGACATCAAGAAGGTACATGCTTTTCAGTCTACATCTGGAACATGGCGGAAGAGTAATGGCTGTCTTTAAAGGCACAACTAAAGCAGAGCAACCGACTTAAGCATGTGTGCGGAAAGCAACATAACAAATTATTGCCTCTCTGGCTCTTGACAATATCTCAATCTGCCATTCCTTGCTCTGGATATGTGAGACATCCACCAATGAACCATAAAACTTAGTCTTACATCCGAAAATTAAAAGGACACTTTAACTATAAATTCAATCTCCAAATAATGAATGCCAAACATAAGCTTACGCTTATATAAAAAATAGTCAATATTGAAAAGCAAAAAGGGAGCGGGCAGAACGACTACAAAAATGGGTTGCGACTCATGTCATGTGTAAATAAGAATAAAAAAAATCATGAAACAAAGGTTACACTTGATAGTGATTATAGCAAACATTCAATGCTACAAACTATATTTTACATCAATATATCATGGTCGACTTTGCAGGTGACAGAAAAGTTTCATGTCCTTCAAAATCCAATGCACTATTTGTGTTTTGGGAAAGGGTAAGAAAATCTGCCATTTCCAAAAGCTGAGAGCAATTAATGTACCAAAGCAGTACATTTAGTCAATTGACTGTCAGAAATCTCTAGAAGATAATCAATCCTTACACACTAAGTTATAAGTAGTTACGGCAGAAACCAAAGAAAAAAAAGCATATAGCTCCTTCAGTTAGATTTTATATTCCGTAAGCGCATAAACATTGTTATTATAAAAAACATTGCATAACGTTTGCACACTAGAGGAAATAAAGATGATTCATGCATCTTAGTCTTGAGAATGAGCCCTGGCAATTACAGGCAGGTAGGAATATAAAAAACATAGCCTAAAACAATGAACAATGAATATCGATCATATAGTATATTAAGGATGAAAAAATTGGTCATACAGGTTTACATGTCAATTACAAGTGTTGAAAGGAAGTATATTACAGGGAGGAACCACATACTTTATTTCTCCAGCTTCCGACCAGTTGGAGTAGCAGATAATTGGTCTCAATTAGCCAGATGATAAGTTGATGCCCTTTGAGTTAAAACATCCAATTTGACAATCAACCATATGACTATACCTTATACCCTTTAAACCTAGAAAGTAGGTGGGCATACTTCCCCTTCTCATTCATCTGTTGTATCACTTCATGAGCATCAGCAATCTTTCCAGCACTCCGTAAACTACGCACTAACGAGTTATAGACAACAAAGTTTGGGCTACAACCTCTGGTCTCCATGTCCTTGAGCATAGAGCATGCTTCATCAAACTTTCCTGCCATACATAATCCATGAATCATGGAATTATATGTGAACACATTTGGAACCTGTTCTCTAAAAATCATCTCATGAAACAATTCCTGAGCTTTCTCAAGCTCACCAGCCACTATATATCCTGTAATCATTACAGTGTAAGCCACCACATCTGGCATGCACCCATTCTGTATCATCTCATCAAAAAAATATTTGCAAGCATCCAGATTCCCAGCCCTGCTGAGCCCATCTATCAAAGTGGTGAAATGAAGTACAGCAGGCTCAATGCCTGTTTCTCTCATGTGATTTAAAAGATTAAGAGCCGCAAGCGGTTTGTCTCCTTTACCAAGAACATGAAGAAGAATGTTGTACGTATGAAAATCTGGAGAAAATCCATTTCCACCCATCTCATCAAGCAGTCTGTGAAACTGATCCAAGTTCCCAAGTCTGTACTTGGCATACATGACAATATTATAAGTTAAGACATCCGGGGAAAAACCCTCTAGCAACATCTGTTGATAAACCCACTCAATCAACTTGTACTGCTTTAAAACTAGAAGACCATGGAGAATTGCATTGTAGGAGTGCTTAAAAGGCCTATAGTTAAACGTCTTCGATTTTATGAACCTTTCCACCAATTTCTTAGCCAATCCTGCCTCACCACAAGTTCGAATCAAAATATTGAAAGTACGAGCACTGGTTGGGAACCCTTTCTCAATCATCTCATCAACCAACCTCCACAAAGCCTTAAACTCTTCACATTGAGCATATATGTTCATAATTAAGTGATAACCATTCGCGGTGTCTTGGTAACTCTCCTGCTGATTACACCATGTGAAAAACTTATATGCCAACTTTGCACACCTCGTCTTATTCTCTCCATTTATGCTCTTCAATATTCCAAATAGAACTTCTCTCACAAGAATCCCCGATGGTCTTATATGTAACTCATCTAAAACCGACCTTGCATCAAGGCCGGGACCATCTTGCCGAAGAACCTCAAGGACCTTCTTAGCATCTAACTTCACAGTATCTAAAAACCCTTTTCTAAGTGAATAATATTGTTTTTGGTTACAGCTCCAATCCTCATCAGAATGAAACCTATCGTTTTCATCCAAATTTGAATCATAATCTGACACCATTTTCTTCAAAGGTTTCTCAACACATTCAAACTCATGATCACTACCAAACCTATGATCACAAATTTTCCGCGAACTAAACCAAAAGGGGGAATTTTTTTTAACTACCCTTCGACCTAAAAAGACGATTTTTGAATTCATAGTTTGAATTGGGACCTATCATGTCTGCAACTCCGAAATAAGCAAAAAACAACTATTTCGTAGGAATTCTGCGTTATTTATTTGGGGTGGAATATTTGAGAAGCTCATTGTGCTATAGAAACGATGGGTGTTTCATGAAAAAATAAGAAGAAGGAGAAAAAAAATGAATGGGGAAAATAGGGTACCGAGTTGCACGATATTTTGGAGAATTGGTGGATGCAATGTGGCGAGTGTGGAAGGATGGCATCATTTGGAGGTTGAATTCATTGTCTGTGGTGTGAATGTGAAAACCCTAGAGACGATGGAGAGGAAGAAGGAGAAGGAGAAGAAGAAGAAGAAGAAGAAGAAGAATTTGGGCTTCTCTCTTAAAGCATTCGTTTCATTAACATGAATGTTTTTTTGAATGCTTTTAGGTTTGGGCTTTTAAAGCGTGCATTGAAAAATGACAGGCCTTGTGAAGTTGGTATTTAATTCATTGGGCTGAAGTGAGAGAGTGATGGTTATTATAGCATAATGGTGAAGTCTATCCCAAACATTAATTTAATATGGGTGTAAAATATTCCCTAAAACAGTTTTATTGGATTTGTGCAAACATATTTTTTCATGTGGTGCTCATTAACACTAGCAAATAAAGTAAAAACAATGAACTACCACTAAAAAAAAATGTAACGTCTTCCATGCTCTAGAAAATTTAATCAAAACCTTATATATATCTTTTTGATGAGATAATGTAAGCAATTGTTGGGAGTATGTAGCATAACAAATTCATTGTGATACTTAAATTATGAGTCCCAATTAATAAATTAGTGTTTTGGATTAAGTTGTCTTCATGTATTAATGTCTTTTATTGAGAGTTGTGTCATAGAAAGTGTCACATATAGGTTGGATTAAGGTATACTATCTATTAGGTTAGTATCAATAGAACGAAAGTTGTTGTGGATGTCGGCCCTTAAAATGAGTGCAATGTAAGAAGTCTCATATAGTTAACACATGCTTAAGAGCGAGGTTTAAAATAGATGAAAAGGGAGAGATTTGTTGAAAACTAACAATGAAGTTCCTTTAATTATAAAACAAGATGAAATCTAAATCATGTATTATATTTTTATTCAGGACCAGATTTTTATACTTTTCTTGAAATGATGATAACCCTCTTCCGTTTAAATTTGTTGAATAGGCTTTCCTGTTCTTCACAACAAAAGATGATCTTGATTGAATTGTTTGATCGCACTCAGTATCAAGAGGCTAATAAAAAATAAAGTCTATCCCGGACATTATCTAAAATTCTAAAAAAATGCAATAATCAGCAGAGAAGGATCATCTTCAATTGTTATAAGAGATATTCATGATATTTAATTCATTGGGCAGTATTTAGGAGTTTTGTTTTATCCTCACCTTTCCAATGACCTTGAATCTATTCATCACTCCAATGACTCCTACAAGCTTGCACAGTCTAAAAGTGGAAACTGAAATAGAAAAATATGCAATACCAAATAGGACATTGAATTGAAGTATTAATGAAAATAAGATACAATACAATATGTAATACATTTTTTCCAACTCAGTCATATCTCAAGTTCATAATAAGAATGTCATAATACAAATTCCACACTAACACAATCATATATCATGCATGTAGAAACTCTTCAGTGCGTGTAATTCCTCAATTGGATTATTCTTGCACTCTTATTTCACCTTTAGCTTTGCTCCACTTCGACACCAATGTTCTCACTCTTTGATAAACATTCATCTCCTGCAACCATAACAACCTCAATATGAGCCATACTATAACGTTTTTCTACAACAAATGTGGACATCAAATATTGTCCCTTATGTTTTTATGTCGTATTTTTTACATGCATTTATGTAAAAAGTAAAAAAAAATGGAGAGAAATATATATGGACAATGTTCAAACTTGTTAAAATGATCAAACTCTGGTATATAACACAACATTTTGCCAATTTTGTTAGAAGCATCACTACTTCATTGGTCCTCTTATTGCTTCTGAAATTTCACGGTCTCCATTGGTACTTGTGGATATAGTCTCTGGATCAAACTGATTTATTTCCATCAGAAGGATGACAGAGTTTTTGATGAAGTAGAAAAGTCTGGCACCATTTGGTCATGGATTTCAGCTCTGTCAAATAAGATTCAAGATCGACACAGAAAGAGAACTAAGAAACATGTGCCACTTACAAATGGTCCGAACATGTCACAGATTCATCAAATTCTCTATCTATTCAAGATTCAACCATTGTCGGAAAAACAAGAAATTGCCTCAAGAATTTAGGGCTTTGAATTGCTTGGCGAAGACGCCACTTTCGTCAAAACAAAGAAACGAAGAAATTGAATTGCCCCAATTGTGGAAGGAAGAGATTGAAGATGGAGAAAGAGGAAAGAAAGGGAAAAAATCGAGAGTTAGAGAGGTTGGAAAAATACCACATATTCTCTCTCTCTGCCGTTAGCCACAGGCAAGAGTTTGAAGTTTGAGCGTAACATGGGCCCTAGCCCAATACATTATATGCTTTAAATATTTTATGGACTATTATCTAATTATACTGCACTATAACCATGTTTCCACTTAATTGTTTGAAATTAAGTGAAAACATTAAATCACATTAAAAAATTAGTAAATTATAAAAACATTCCATCACTATAACCATATTTTCACTTAATTGTTTGAAATTATCACATTTTTACATAGACATACTCCCATATAAAATTTACTCATATAGTATATTTATATTTTCAAAATTCCCTCCTATTTAAATTCATACTTATATATAGCATATATTTAAATAGTAACCATGTTTTCACCTAATAGCATATATGACATTATCACATGTTTTATACTTATATATAATTAAACATTGTACGTTTTTTGTTTAGCACATAAGGTTTTTTATAATGTAAATTAGGTATTACATACTGTAAATGTGAATGGCATGAAATTAAAGTTAAAGTTATTGGCTACCTTAATATAAAATTTGTGTTATTCTATCGTCAATGGGTGATTATAGTGCAAATAAATATTCCATTTTATTATATTGCAAAATATAAAATGTGCAGAAAATAGCACAAACATTGAGATAAAGTTGTTGTCACTTATAAATAGAAGTGAGTGATATTTGGAAAATAAGGTAAAATAATACGTCAATCTTATCCCCTTATATAGGAATATTTTAGGATGATGATGAGAATATTTACTGCCACATTCTTTAAAATATCAGATATACTATATTTTTAATTCTATATAATAACTTTACATTCATTTTTTAATAGTATGAATTTAAAAGGTGAGAATTTTGAAAATACCAAATATATTATATAAATATAATTTTATAAATATATGGTGAGGAATTAGTAATAGTAATTAAGTAGTTGATAATAGAGTACAGTAAATATTTTTTGAGAATATTATATAAATGGTAGTATTTGAAAATTAAATTGAAATCTATTTAAATAAATAGATTTCAATAATATTTTTAGTGTCTCAAAGATATATCTGGAATTCGTGCAACCCGTTTTATGAATGTACAATTATAGGTATCGGCTAAATGATATGTACTTCACCTAATAAGTGGTAAATAAATCCTTTGCCTTATTTTGGTTACAATTGCTTGAATATTTGTAGATCCAATAAATAGCCTTCCTTATTTATCTATTACATTGCATGCAATATCACATGTCAAAAATGTCAAAGTGATGTTAAACCATTAACTATATGCCTCATAAGACCTCTAGGTCCTGGCTATCTTCAACAAGAAATGTTAGATTGACCAAATGGTGCATCAATGAACTAAAACTGTTAGTGTGCTTAAATTTGGTTCCACGAATGTGGTTATCATGATATGAAAATGACACAAAACCTGCAAAGAGTTCTAGTTCCTTTTACCATTCTTGAGATTACGTAGAGCCATAACAAGCTGCTGTCTTTCGCCTTCTACCTCTGCGAATTTCAGGCTAATCTCTGAATACCTTTCTTCCATTTCTTTCAGTTCACTTTCCATATATTCGTTCCTTTCCTTTAGGGCTGCCACTTCACTCAGCAACTCTTTTGTATAGCACTCACTTCCATGATTATTTACCTCATTTGCCGAGCAGGTTTTTAGTTCACTGTCAGAGTAAGAATGAGACAATAATTAATAAAGGTGAGTTATTTGATAATGGAAGATATGAAGAATCATGACCATGTTCAAGGGAAGGAACTATAGATTCGGATGATAAAAAATGAATTTGATTATTACCTTGTAGTAGATTGACAAACTTTGTTCTCACCAGACTTGCCTACTCTTCCATCTTCAGACTTGCTTGCACCATCCATTCCCTTTTCATGTTACAAATATAACACCAGTCTGAGTTATTCCCACAACATCAACAGATTAACTAATGTGTACAAAGCAAAGTTAAACTTTGAACAAACCAGTAGAAGTACCACCATGCTGATTAATTCAAACGTTTGCTATACAATACATAATCAATTACAAATTTATAACATGTAATGGACATGATGATTGGAAGGCTTGTAGGATATTCTAGATATTATAACATTTCACAAAAATTGCGCTGATTTGCTTGGAATCAAAGATTAGTCCTAACATCTCGCTATTGTGTAGTTCACTAAGTCATAAGGAAGTTGTGCTGCCATTCAAACTGTACTAATATGCAAAAGCAAAATTAAGTTCTTACTTTCTGATTTTAAATATGGTAGCTGAAAAATTACCTTGTGCGTTTCTGTTTTTGACTTCTTAATATGTCCCTTAGCGGAAGGAGGTGCAACACAGTCATTGTCTCTTGCAGTTAAATTCATATTTGAAACTGGTGCTCGTCCTTTGTTATTCTTGAGCTTCTTTTCCATAGTACTTAATTCTGCTTCCTTCTTCTTCAGCTCTCCTTCTAATTGAGATATCTGTTTCCTCATACTTTCTTTCTCCACTTGCTCTTTGTGCAAACTATGCTTTACTTCTTTGTGTTGGACATTAAAGGTTTCTACTTCTGACAGCAGGGTTTCTACTTCACATGTTGTTTCTGAATCTGTCCTTTCCACCTTGGTTATGTTCTTTGTTGGTTTCGGTTTAGACAACACATACTCCTCTGCTATCAGATTTTTAATTTCAGATCTGAGCATTTGAATTTGCTTTGAGAATGCAGCATCCTTTTCATCATTGGTCCTTTCTGCCTCATTAAGTTGTTTAGACTTAACTTCTAGCTCTTGTGACATCTTTTCTATTGTTTTTCCTTTTGAATCTATTTGGTTCAAGAGTTGTTGCATTTTCAATTCATTCTGATCTGTAATAAGCCTGAGCTCTTGATTGCATTTCTGAAGCATATCCTCTATAAGCCTGTTTTGCTGCCTCAGCTCATTGGCTTCTTCAACTGCATTCATGGTCATCTTTTCATTCTCCTCAACTTTCGAAGACATCTCAATCGAAAGCATTCGATATTCCTGCTGAAACTGCTCAGATGTGAGATCATTATTGTGTCTCGCCTTTCTCAACGCCTCCTCAGCTTGGATGGCCCGTTCTTCCTGCTCAATTTTTGCACATTGCATGGCATGGAGATCACCTTCAAATTTCTCTGATTGTATAGTCAGTTCCTTCTGCAAACACTCGACTTCATTTTCAAGTTCATTGATGGAGACCAAAGATTCTGAAAGTCCAACTTCCTTTGTCTTCATCTTTTCTTCTAATCTCTCAAGTTTTGATTCAAGTTGTTGTATAGTAGCCAAAGCAGCTGAATTTTCATTTTGTAACATAATTTTTTGTGCTTCTCCCTGCTTTAACCTCAAAGAGATATCCACATTTTCTTTCTTTAGAAGCTCATACTCCAAGCTGAGCTCCTTTATTTCGTCATTTAGATCTTCATGTTGTTTATAACAAATGTCTAGTTCATGATTCTGTTCTGCAATTTTATGCTTCAAAAGATCTAATTCTGGGGCATCAATACGCTCTTTATTAACGCTTCGAGATTTTATATTGGTAGACAGATCCAATATTTCTTTATTCTTTTGTTCCAGCATTGCTTCAAGCTCTGTCACAGCCAAAAGTAGTTCAGAGTTTGAGTTTTGTGTCTTCTTCAGTTGCACTTGAAGATTGGAACTCAACTCTTGTTCATAAACAAGCTCTTCCTTTGTTGCCTCTAACTGAAGCTTAATATCATCAATCTCAGACTTCAATGTTTTAGAGGCTTTGCTCTCATTGTTGTAGTTCTGCTGGGTCTTGAGTTGCTCATACTTAGTTTTGAGCACATCTTTCTCATCTCTGAGGCTGTTTATTTGTCTTGACAAATTCTGTCCCCTACTGCTTTCTTTTTCTATCTGCTTCCGAAGTGACTGTAACTCAAGTTCTGATAGTTCTACCTGCCTCTTGAGAGAAGCAATTTCACTTATGAGCTTTTCAGATGCATTACTATCTGAAGGCTCTTTTAATCTTTCTCTTGGAAGATTATCTTCTAGGCTGTTTGTCCAGTCACCTACACTTCCATCTGATGCTGAACCCATTGACCAATCTGTGTTTGATCTCTTATGTACTTGAGCTTCTTTAGCAGTGGCCTCAACTGGTCCTTTTGTTGGCACTGAATTATGCCCATTCTATAAGATAACAATGAAAACCAATGTGACTATAATTCATTAAAATGGGTTAGTGAAAATAGGGTGAAAATGTGAAAATGTCATGGATGAGATTTGAATACAATTTTACAAATAAACTGCTCCACAATTTTTTTTTCTCCTTCATTTTGAACCACACATACCATCGAAAGTTTTTGTTTAGAAAAGTTTCAACCATGTTAAATAGAATTCTTATGAGACCTTACTTCATCAACATAATAACTTTCATCTGCACTGCCAAAGCTCAATTGGTTTTTCAAGCTTCCATCATTGCAAAGTCCCACAGATTCATTATCTTCCCCATTTCTGGAATTAAGGTATAAGGTTGTATTGTAAGCACACATATGAGAGAAGTAAATAAAAATAAGCATCAGGAAATTTACAAAGGTTAAATTAACTGAATGATGTATCATTTTCACCTTTCAGCTGTATATCCTTCCACATTTTGAATTGTCACCTGTCTCAAAAAATATCATGTTAGAAATCATGAATGGTCTTGATTATCTGACTTTGTTGAAGGAAGTAGTTTCAGTCTTTCAGATACGAAAAGAAACAAGCTCCCCGTGAAGCTCAAGTTTCTAAGACAAAAAATGAAAAATGGAGGGAGATATTGTTGGATTTTTGGAATGACACTAACTAAATATACTTTTTTTCATTCATCATTTGGCTACTTAAAAGTAATAATGGAGGAAAATAACAGAAACTGATGAGAACCAACTAGGGGCAACCCATGATTCAAGGGGCAGCCAAGACCAAGAGGGTCCCATGGCTAAAACCAGGGCCAAGTTAGGTCTAAACAAGCTCACCAAGGACTCCATTGACCCTGAAATTCGTGGGCTTAAAGGGCATTTATGTCCTTGAGTCAACCA